AATTGTAATAAATTCACTCTTATATCGTATCTTATCTGCAATTGATGCTGATTATCGTTTGGATTTAGTTTTTTCAGTCTATAGAAAAATTTAATGTATTTGTTTGTTTTTTTATCCTTTCTCTCGATTTCTGATTTACATTTTGATATAAAAAAAACCCTAAAGTTTCTTTTTTTCCCCCCATGATGACAGCGTGGCGCCCCACCCAAGTCGGCGCCCTATACGACCGTATAACTCGCATAGCCCTTGTACCGGCCCTGAATAGACCTACAAAAAAAAAAAAAAGTCTAATCTACATTCAATAATGTAATGGAAAAGCAGTATCCGGATAGTTCAGAGATTATAGTTTGTTTCATACATAGTTTTTTTTTCTTTGTATATAAAAGTTATATATAATAAAGTGTAATATAATATTTAGTCATATATTTGTATAATATAATAATCAAAATTTAAAGTTTACCTTTTTTTTATTATTGTTTATTTTTGCCGTTTAATAATATATACAGTTTTGAAGCATATAAATAAAAATAAATATTGGCGGGGCAAGAAAAAGACTTATTTAGCCTTATCACCGAGCACCATTCTCACGTATTTACAAAAACCGTAATATTTAAATATCTATAATTAACAAACTGTTTATTAAAAAAAATAAAATAGATAACTGTTCGTTGTCATTTAAAGAAAAAATTTAGAATCAAACTTTAAACAAAGAGTAAGATCAAGTGAACAAGAAAAAATAAATAAGATATTATCATTTGCTTAAAACTTAAACATTTAAACTAAGATATAAAAATAAAAAATAAATTAATTAATATACACCATAGAAATAACATAAATAAATATACTTCATAGAAATAACGTAAATAAATTAGCAAACACCGTAATAAGGTAATTAGGTACACTCAGTGACATAATTTTTGTATTAATTATTTTTTTGTATTTGAGTTTTAATTTAAAAAAACCTTTAAAATCGGATATATTAAAATCCATAAGTAAGAATGCCTGTTTTGATTTATTTTTAAACTGCTCTATACTAGTTTTATGCGCACTTACAATCTTGGGAAACATTTTTCACAAGTAAGGTCTACAATAAAGAATTGAATATGAAGTTAGTTTTGAATTATATTTTGAGACAACAAAGTTGTTATTTGAAAATTTTGTTGGATATTTATGAATTATTTTGTTAAAATAGGATTGAAAGATTTTAGGAGATAATCCTATATTTGTTTTATATATGATCATTAAAACTTGGTGTAAGTTGATTTTATATATATTTAATGCTCCAAGTATACACAGAAGAGGCTCACAAGGTACAGTTCTATCAGCTCTAAAAATTGTTCTGTACGCGTGTTTTTGTTTACAGCACAATTTTTTAATTTTGTATGGTTTGTACTTTCCCATGCAATACTGCAATCAATTAAATGGCAATGGATAAAAGAGAAATAAAAGCTTTTTAAAGAATTATTGTTTAAAAATGGTTTAGTCCTATTTATCATTGCTAAAATTTTTGATATTTTATTTTCGATACTTTTTATATGTAAACTCCAATGTAAATGTTCATTTAAGATTATGTCTAGAAAGTTTTCTGAATTTTCTCTTTTAATGTTAGTGTTATTGATTATTAGATTAGGCAATTTGATGGAAGTATTTTTTGATTTATTCACTTTGTGAAACAAATTAAATTTGGTTTTATCCGCATTTAGAGAAAGTTTATTGCTCATTAAACACTCATTCACTTTCGATAATTGCTCGTTTGTTGTTTCAAATAGTGTATTAATATCTCTATGAGAATAAAAAAGATTGAAGTCATCTGGGAAAAGAATACAATTCAATAGGTCTGTTGCTAAATTTAAATCATTAATGTACTCTAGAAGTGGTCCTAAAATAGAGCCCTGGGGAAACCCATAAGTTACGGTAGACGGGAATGTTCGTTTTAGTCTTCGACCATATAAACTGTTTATCAATTTATATGATCGAAGGTTTTAGTTCATACACTATAAGTTGTTTTGTATTGGTCAAATAACTTTTGAACCAAAGTAAATTGATATTTTTTACTCCATAGTGTTCAAGTTTTTTTATTAGTATATTATGATTAATGGTATCGAAAGTTATTGACAGATCAATGAAAACTCCTAAACTTACCTTCTTGATTTGATCCATGGATTACACTCAAAATAGTTTAATGTAAATTTCACTAAAACATTATATCTTAAAAATTTGACCTGATAGGCAACATCTAAGGTATATTTGAACTTAGGGCATCAAATTCATATGGACTATATTAGATTGTTTAAATGGTGGCACACCAAAAGAAACCAATAAAGCTTTTTAACAACTCTATTGAAGAATACATTACCCAAATCAAAATAGGTTAGTGGTTATCTCACAAAATTTGTAACAATGAAGACAGAGGTTTTATCATAGGAGTTTCAGCTTAAATTGGATAATAACTAGTTAATAACAGATTTTAACAGTAAAGCTAGTCGTAACTATATAGAAAATTTTTTATTATAGTTTTATTTAAATTTTTTATTAAATTTTTTATTATATGAAGCTACGATATGTAACTATCCATGATATAGTATTGCTGATGTTCATAAATTGCAAATCTACATTCATTATCTGGAACTCTTGCTTCTGGCACGCACTTAATTGTTCTACAATGACGTTCAACGACCCATTTCCAGATGACCTGTTAGAGCAACGAAGTAAAGTTCTCCATTTTATTAATCTTGCATTGCGTTTAGAATGGTCTAAACGTTATCAAATAACACTGGTGCCGGAGATTTTCTTTTGCTTTTGTCATATCAATAACCATTAAACAAATCTTTGATGTCTAATTAATCAATTGCAAGGCAAAATTAATTGGCATAAAATAAAATCTAAAGTGGAACGAGAATAAACCTTTGAAAAAATAAAACATTGAAAACTCTAAATACTATTTGCATACGGGTTTTTATTGCTATGGTAACTTAAAGCCCAAAACAAGTTTTAATAGGCCGTAATACTTCAATTTATCAAAGGGATCGTCCGTAAAGTACGCAACGCAAAAAATATTTTAAGAACAAAATTAGGAGATATTAAGCACTTTTACGCGGCGATTTTCATTTAACTTAATTTCCTATTTTTATTTAAGACTCTGCGAGAGAAAACTTTTGATCTTTTTTTGTTTTGTTTATTGTGAAATTTTGCGTTACGTAATTTATGGACAATCCCAAAGAGAATACACTAGTGCAAAAGTTAATTTCAATGTTCAAATGGTTTGATAAGTCAATAAAAACGATGATGCAAGGGCTTGGTTTCCTGTATTAAATGCTTTTCTTAAAGTAATTTTTTGTAAAAACTACCAGTTATTTAATTAACTATTTTATAAATTGCTTTATAAACTTTTTTTTAGAAAAATGGTCATAAACATTATTACAAACTACCGTTTTAAGACTTTTGAAAAAGCAGAAAGTGTTGTTATTTCTATTGTGGGCCCCAAGAAGTCTTAATCCGCCACTGGTAACGATAATTGCATTTGTATATCAAAAGTACTTTCGTAACTTTTAGTCATGCTTATTTTTCCATTGTTTGACATCTTTGATAAAGAGTTAATAACAGTTATAAAAATATAATAAACATGGCTGCAACCATTTCTTTTACATCTAACTTCATTTATGATAAAAAACTGTCAAAATTTAACTCTTTAAAAATTGTTAGGGAAAGGTGTTTTTGTTTAGAAGTATAATAATTTTATAAACAGAAAATTATTTTCTATTAAATAATTTTTGTTTTGTTTTAAAAATTGAATTCACTTTCCTAAAGCTCCAGAGGGTCACTACAGCCGAGAAAGTTTCTTTTTTGGTATTATTTTACTTGCAACTTTCTCACACCCTGAACTTCGAAACGCAAACTTTGCTAATCAAATGAACGGCGATTAATAGGGTTGTTTGTTTTAGTAGGATTTTTTATTCCTTTTCAAATGATTAAAAGTGCAAGTTAACAATATTGCTTACCTACTTTCATTGATAGAATTTTGAAGTAAATACTATAAAAATAGGCAACACGATTTTACTCTGAGGCCAAAAGCTCTTTTGATATAACTTTGTTTATAAAAACTTTTGTTTTATATTTCCACTAGTTAAGTTAATTTTGAATGAACATTATTTATTTTGTATGATATTAATTCATATTATAATAAATCTAATAATTATATTCCCTAGGCATTTTTACTTAAAACCAAATGCAAATGTTTATATAAGACACCGTCGGCGCCAGATTTATCAATAGGCTGACTAGGCCGCGCCCTAGGGCCCCGCGATTATAGTGACCCCAATATGTCGAAAAATTTCAGATTTCAAATTTCATTTTTCTACAATTTTTATTTAAAAAAGGGCCCCAAAACATAACCCGTCCTAGGGCCCCCAAAAGTGTAAATCCAATACTGAACACAGTATATGAACGTAATACTGTTATTGCCAGGATGAATAATTATATCGTTATTTCATTAACAGTTTGTTTTTAGCATTTCAAGGTGAATAATTTTCAAACGAAATCTTTTTGTATTAAACAAGAGATCGTCCATAAAGTGCGTACGCTCGAATGGGAGAGAGAGGGTCTCAAAATAGCGAATATGAGATGATATAAAAGTAAGGAGACACTAAATTGTCATAAAATGTTGGTTAGGTAGGTTAAAAGCGTAGGTACTTTTAGGGAGGCGGAGGGTACTCAAAAAAGCGTATAGTAAAATGCAGGGGGTTCGAAATAAAAGCGTAAGTACTTTATGGACGACCTCTAAACAAATTAGCTGCTAGTTTTTTTAATACACTTGTAATAAATTTGAATTAAAAAACTTTAAAAACTAAGACTTTAAAAAAGAGAAATAAACAAAAAAAAAAAATAAACAAGCGAATTAAAATATATTTACAAAATGCAAATAAAACGTAGATGGCAATGTAAATAAACTTGAAAAAAGATGTAAACCGAAACACGAAGCCTTAAATTAAACTTGATCCCAATTCTAAATAGTTTTAATAAACATATATTAGTAAAACTGTATGTAAAGACCAACAACAATATACGTAACAAATAAAATAGATTTAATCAATTAAAAAAAAAAATCAGTTGTTGAACATGTGACATTGTGCTGGAGCATCAGTAAATATTACACCAACAAACACGTTGCTCTTCCATTTGTTGTGAAAAAGAACCTTGCAGCATCCCAAATCCTCAACATTGAATCCTAACTGATTAAATCGATCATCGGTTTCAAATAAAGTATCATTTGTGTATTCGCTATAAAATGCTCGACCAGAAAAAGGATCAATAAAGTCAGCCCAATAGCCGCTTGCTATAATTTTTTCACAAATCATCTTTGCATTTTCAATAAACATGCATATGAGGGTTTCTCTTTCTTTTTCTACTTCTTCAGACCATGCTGCCATATCATTGACTGTATGTTGTGTAATTGTGATAACGGTTAAGTCATTATTTTCTTGGGAAGAAAACAACTTCTTAAAATCTTTTGACAAGGTTTGAGGACAAGTTTGGATTTTGCATTCAACTTTATCTGGACAATTAACCAAGACATCTGTCAAACAACTTTCTTGCGTTTCTTCTTGTTTTGAAGTGAATTGTGTCAACAAATCGTGCTTTCTTTGAGCTTCATTATTCAAGTTAAGCAATACAGAAGATAAGGTTTGATATTTAATTTTTTCAACTGCTTTGTTGCAGCTAACTAGGCTGTTTAAATCAACACCTACATGACCAGGCAAGGGAAAGTTTGGATCATGTGATAAAGGTGAATTCACAGCAGAAATTAATGCATCATTTTTTTGTTTACTTGGTGGATTTACTGAAGCCATTCCTCGATTAACACTTAACATACAAACAATATTTTGCATATTAGGTGCATAAAATCTGGTAGTCATAATTCTTGAAGCCATATTTATTATTTTATCTAGAAAATAAAATGAATAATCTTAGAAAATTTAAAGTTTCACAATTAAATAACTATTTATCACTTAAAAATTTAGATATTCAAAAAATTTCAGTTTAAAGATCTAATCAATGAAATAATAAATGGTCAACAAAATAACATGTATTAAAGGAAATTAATGGGGAATTAAACACAAATTTTTTTAAAAGCAATCAACAGTAAAATTATTTTTACATTCATGCCACACCAATTATTAAACAATATAATCAATTAAGTAGTATGAAAACTGTAACTGGCATTAACATAAGTATATTTTTTAAAAATTATTATTTTTTGTTGAAGTTGACTACCTGAATTAATTCTTTTATACTTTTTTTTTCTTCCAGATATATATTTCTTATATTGAGAGAAACAAAAAAGAAAGTTTTTTTGTAGCAAATAAGTTGGCTATTTCACTTTATTTGAGACATGATCTACTATTTAATGTGTCATTTATTATTTCTGGTTTCTACCTTGAATGAAATAGTGGTTCCTTGTTCAAAAAAAAAAAAATGGTTAGAAATAGTGAATACTATCTTGTACTTTTTTATCTTGAGTGGTTTGAAATGTTTTTTATGACATTTTTACATAAAAATGTTTTAAAAAACAATTTGAAAATTCTTGAAAAAAAAAAGCAACTTATTTTTTAATAAAAATGTTTTTATGCAATAAATTCAAAAATAATAATTTTGATACAAAATGTGTAAATAAAAAATAAAAATTTTCGAAGCTTTTATGTAAATTTGTTTCCTTTGAATACCAACATGACATATAGCATATATATTAACTAATTAAAGTTATATACCAACATAACATACTTTTAAATAATTTTTTTTGTGTGATAATAATAGAAACCAGCCAAATGTTTAAGGGTCTAGGGTTAAATGCTTAATGGTCAATCTCTGATAATAACTTTTATAAGCGAATTTTTTGAAATCCAATATTTTTATATTATACAGAGCACATTTAGTGTCATTTACTTTTTTACAAAAATTATTTTCAAAAAGTCTTTAACATATTAAGATTAATGAACCTAGTCTCAACAATTCCATCATTCCAATGCACAATAAAGGTTTATTAGTTAAAGCTTGTATTTAAACTCAAAATTTGTATTTACTTGCCATATACATAAGTTAAGTAATAAAATTAAACAGAAACTAATAAAATGTTAAATAAAGATTACAAACAAAATTTTGTAAAGTTAATTTTGACAAATAATAAAAAAATATGATGTCACTAATTCAAAGAAGATGATACATACAAATGATATAATATTTAAAACCAATTTTTTTATAGAATAACTGAACTACTCTTTCAGACAAGGTAGAAACCAGAAATAATGCCAGACAGATTAAATAGTAGATCATGTCTCAAATAAAGCAAAAAAGGCAACTGATTTGCAACAAAAAACCCTTTCTTTTTCATTTCTCTTGGTAATAGAAATATATCTGAAAAAAAAAAAAAATTTAATTTAGGTAATCAACTTCTACATAAAAAGAAATTTTTAAAAGAAATTAATATTATTCTACATCTAAAACTTTTACTTGCTTCATCTTGTTTAATGTTTTATCTTGTTTGAGATTTTTTTAAACTTCTTCTTTTACATATATGTGCAGAACATCTACTTAAGTTAACAAAGTTAAAACCAAAGCTATTTTGATAAATTCATTTACTTTGCTGACCTAAAATAATTCATTTATTTTGCTGCCCAAAGCTAATTAATTTACTTTTTCAAAAAGTTTCTTTATATTTACAAACTCAACTTATATTATTACTACAACAAAACAATACTTTTAATTAACTATTGTATATCTTTATTATACATTTATATATAATTATTGCATACTTATGTAAATTATTTAGTTAATTTATATAAGTATGCAATAATTATATATTGCATACTTATATAAATTATCTAAATAATTATTCAATTAGATAAAATTAGATAAGGATTATGTCAAAATACATTAATTTAATTGAGGAAACTAATTAAATCTACTGTTCTTTAAAAAACCACAAAAAAGCAAATTAAAAGATTAAAAAAAAAAAATAATAATAATAAAAATAAAAACATATTGAATGTTATTATTTTTATTTTTAAACATCCAAGGAGTATTGCTACATCAATTATATCTTATAGCCTGCTGCTAAAAGAAAGTGTTTCTACATTGACTATCTTATAGCCTGCTGCTACAAGGGATTGTAGCAGCAGGCTATAAGATAGTCTTATACCCTGCTATTATACCACAAGGGAGTGATATTACATTGACTATCTTATAGCCTACTGCTAAGTGGACTGAGGATTGGTTTGGGCAAACAATCTATCTATTAATAATTAAAAAACAATTTTTTTTAACTTTTTCCGATCCTTTAAATAAATATAAAAAACAAACAATATAAACTTGACATTTTAAATATATATACATATGTATATATATATATATATATATATATATATATATATATATATATACATATATATACATATTTTATATATATATTTTACCGCACACACACACACAAACACAAACACAGATACATATATATATATATATATATATATATATATATATATATATGTATGTATATATATATATATATTAGATAAATATATATATATATATATATATATATATATATATATATATATATATATATATGTATATATATATATATATGTATATATATATATATATTAGATAAATATATATATATATATATATATATATATATATATATATATATTTATATATATATATATATATGTATCTAAAATATATAAATATATAATTAGATACATATCTATATCTATATATATATATATATATATATATATATATATATATATATATATATATATATATATATATATATATATATATATATATATATATATATATTTATATATATATATATATTTATATATATATAAATATATATATATATATATATAAATATATATATATATATATATATATATATATATATGTATCTAATATATATATATATATATATATATATATATAAATATATATATATATATATTTATATATATATATATATATATATATATATATATATATATATATATATATATATATATATATATATATATATATATATAGGTACGTGAGTAAAAATTTCAAATCGTTTGAATACTATATTGTTATACATCATTAGAAAGAGGATTATTGCAGTATTTTAAAGGTGAAAAAATTATCAAAATCGAACAATTGGTTCAAAAGTTATGACGGTTTAAGTACCGATTTTTCTATATATGGATTTGTTGAAGAAACTGTGGTCAAAATAACATTTTTCTTCACTTAAATTGTCATAACTTTGTCAATTCTTATCTAAAAACAAATATCTTGGCATCAAAAGATAGGTGTAAGAGTGGGCTACAACTTTATGTTAAACTCTAACCGTCGGGCGTATCCGATGGACAGAGGGGGCACCAAACCACCACCTTGCCTGTGTGAAACTGAACACTTTTTTAGAAAAAAAGTTTTTTTTTTAAGACATAAGCAATATAAATATACAAAAAAATTGTTTTAAATTTATACTAAACTAAAATATATGAGAGGTGTATGTTAGCAATAATGGTGTGTGTGGTGGTGATGGTTTAATACACCCTTGTATCAAAAACGACTTGATTTTATAAATATTTATCTTTACTAAAATGAGTAAAATTAGTATACAATATAAAATTATGTTATACAAGATCTTACGTATACAAGTGGTGTTTCTATTATGGAAGGGGCGTACGACCCCCCCTTCTTCCCCCAACCTAAAAAAAAAAAAGAAAAAAAATGCAATTACTGTTTTCAAAATTTGAATAATAAACTAAAAAAAAAAATTATGAAACTGGAAACAATTTAAAAAATAAATTCATACCAGGCAACCACCAAATATGAGAGATAAATGTAAAACTCATAAAAGATATGTTGATGATGTTTTAGTACTATAATATCAAAAACATTTTTAATTCTTGAAAAATCTGATTGAATATTTAAAGTACAACAACAAAAAAGTAAAAAATATATTCCACTAGATTAAAATATACATTAGTGGTGCATCCATGGTCATAAGAGAGTGGAGTATAAGGGAGGGCCTATCCAAATATATCATAAGGAAAGGGGCATTAGAATGCCTCTAACCAAACCATTTGGATATATATTACTTTAAAAAATTATACAACTACTATTGTGGAGATATAATTAAAAGTCAATTGGCTGTAAAAAACATTTCATCTTTATAACCAAGTATAGCAACTACCTATATTAAAGTCTTTCATGTGATTATTACATTAACAGAAGTAAGGAACATACAGTATGGTTACGAGCTAGCCATTCTGTTTGGTTAACAAATAAATTTCTGTTTCAAAATAAATTATAAATAAAATGTTAACATTAAAAAAAAAAATTTTTAATTATTTTAAAAATAATTTAATATATTTGGCTTGGCTTTTAGTGAATGAGTAATATGATTAACTCCAGTAATGAAGCTATATTTTAATTATTTTCAACAATAGACACCACATGAAGGTAAGCCAGAGTCGTCTATCAAAAAATTTAACAAATTACAACACTTGCTATATAATTTAGGCAAGTCACAACACTAGCTGTATTATTTATGCAAGTCACAACACTTGAAATAGATTTTTGGCAAGTCACAACACTTGTTGTATTATTTATGCAAGTCACAACACATGCAATATATTTTAGGCAAGTCACAACAGAAGCTGTATTATTTATGCAAATCACAACACTTGCTATATAATTTAGGCAAGTCACAACACGTGTTTTTAAATTCATTAAATTGTAACTCACCAGAAACAACATCAGCAGCATGCTAAATCTTTTTCATGCAACAGTCAGCAGCTTCAATATCAGTTTCATCACTAATTTTATAATACCCTTATCTTGAATTAATAAAATTTTTTAAGTTGGGATGTATTAATAAGTTATGCGCTAAATTAATAACATTTACAATTTTCATATACTATATATATTGATTTTTAATAAAACGTTTATAACTATGAAAATATTAAAGAGACAAAATAACTAACTGATGCTGTTGCCTGAATCATTAATTGGAATACTTTGAGCAGCTAAAACAGTATGTTTTTTAAATTAGGTTTATAATACATATAATTTAATTAAATGTTTTTTATTTAAAGTTTTGTTTAAGTTACATGTGTTATAAACAATACTTTTGGTTATTAAATGACATCTAAAATGTATAAACTCAAACAAATAATCTATTGAAAACCTGGCCATCAGCTAAACCTTTGTTTATAATACATACAACTTTTATTAAAAGAATCATTTTAATATTTTTAATTTCATTAAAATTTTGTAAAAATGTTTTTAATCGCTATTTTGAATAATTTTTTTTTTTAAATAAGGAAACTAATGTTTCCTCATTTAAAGTTATGACACTATTTTTAATGTCATTAAAAATAGTGTCATAACTTTATAATGAATTAAAGAAAATGTTTAAATAATGGACTTAAATGAAATAACAAGTAAAACCTTCATAGTTTTCTTGATCCTGAGACATTTTTTACTAATTTATCTAAATCAAATATAAAATAATTAAGCAACCCCTCTGCCTTCCAAATCGGCATCGAAAAAAAAAATTAGGTACCAAAAGTGCTACTAAAAATAGGGTGCCTGCTACTAAAAAATATTCCATGAAATTTTGTAGGTGCATAGATAAATGAAAAATCTAGGTGAAAGAATATAATTGAAAAAGTTTCCAGTATATCTTCGACACTAATTTCATGTCAGAAGTACAACCAAGTTTTTGACATCAATAAACTCAGTCATAAAACTAGTCATTATAATTACAAACCAAACAGTAATAAAGGTTAACTATTCTAGTTTTTAAAAATAATCTATGCTGATATCAAATTCTAAAAAGTTATCTGACAAAACATGTTTTTACTACGCTAACTCTAAACGGACTTCAAAAAACGTGGCACAGAATTTTAGCACAAAATTCGGAGCCGTAAATCGCGATTGTCACGTACCTAATATATATATATATATATATATATATATATATATATATATATGTAAATTGTTTTTATCAAACAATTTATAAAAACAAATTTACCAAAATAAAAATTATTTTTTTAGTTTAATTTAACTTGAAAATTTTCTAAATCTTTTCCTAAGAATTATTTTATTAAAAATCACAACCTTTTTTTTAAAAAAATCTTACTTTCTTAGCTATTAACTACTTAGATATTATCTAACTAATGTATATGATCTAACTATAATTTGATAATTTATTAACAATTTATAAATAATAACTACTCCGAATAACTCAATTTTATTTTTAAACTAAATTCAATATTATAAACAATTTTGAAAAAATGTTTAAATCCAATCAGAGCTTTAATAAGCACCATTTTTCGTTCACAATGTTTATCTTAATTTTACATGGGTTTTCAAAAAGATGGCGAGTAAACTGAAAGGGGTTGGTTTCTATCGTCGCACAACGGTAATAAATATAACCAATAAAACCTTACTTACATTTTTAAAGATCTTTCGAATTTTAATTTTTTAATTTTTTTTATACGGAATAAGGTTATTGTGCAGTACAAAAGTGGTTATAAAAAAGACTATAGTATTGTACAAAAAAATGTTTCAAAAAAAAACCTTCGTGTGTACATACGTGTTCCAAGCAAACTTTTTGTTGATATGAGATCCTTGTATGAAAAGGATTTAAAAAGTGACAGGTGTCACTTAATTTTTATGGTTTGTGTCACGTGGTATAATAGACCCCATAGCAAAAAATAATAATAATCGTTTTTTTTTCAAATATTTTATACCAATATTTACCAAATAGGGCAATTAAATAAGCTTTTAAAATCATATTAAAAAATGTATTGAAAATTTTTCTTCATAAGATATAGGGAGTTGTGAATTGTATCAAACCAGGGGTCAATTTGAGAAATAAATAAAGTTAAAATGATTGAGCTGGTTCATATGTTAAAATTTACATTGTACAAATACATATGCATTATTATCAGGGTCGACGACACGGATTTCAAAGTGTGTGTGTGGGGGGGGGGGGCACATTTATCAATTCTTAAAAAAAGTCTTCTATATGTAGAATTTTCTTTAAAAAAAGGTTCTTTAGAAAAAACAGTGGGGGGTGGGAGCTTGTGCCCCCAAGCACCCTCAATAACATCAACCATGATTATACGTAAACCAAAAAGGTATTTACAATTATCAGTGTTTAATCAAGAGAAGACAGGACCACGGGAAAATATTTAATTGACATACCGTATATTAATTTAATATTTAAGTCAATTAACCTTGTAATATAAATGAAATTAATAATATTTAATGAAAAGCTTTAAATATCTTTAGGTGTTTGAAACTTTCATTCTTCAAAAGCCTTTTAGATTTTGAAATTATCAAGGGTGGAAACTGTTTGGGCATGCTAAACATACCAAGTGACTACAGAGTATATGGTACTTAAGGACGTTCATTGTTGGTGGAAGTTGTGCAGCGTTACAATAAATTTAGAGAAAAGGAACTAACAAAGTTATGAAAGAGTATTAGCATCTTTTGCCCCTTTTTTTGTCACCGTAAACTCTAACAATAAAACTTTCAATATAAATAGATTAAATGTAAATAGATTGTACAATTAGTGGCCACAATTTTGAACTATTAGTGCACAATGAAAGTGAAAATGAAAGTATAAAATAAGTCTTCAATCATGGTTAGTAAATAATAATTTTTTTGTTACATAACTCTTAATCTCAAAGTTTTACATCTATGTTTAGGAAGTTAACTTGTGTTTAGGGAGTTAACTTGTGTTTAGGGAGCTTTAACTTGTGTTGCAGATTATACCTATAGGTATAATCTGCAACACAAGTTATATATGTACACACAATATGTATGTGTACAACAGACTATAGTCTGTTGTACACATATATATTGATATTTTTATATGCATATTGGCTTTGTCACTTAATTGCTAGTTCAAGGCTTAGGACTAATCTAAGCCTATACCCTACCCTTATGCTAGGTTTGACATAGGCCTGCTTAAAGTCTATTGTTTTTAGGTACAACTTGAACTTCAGGTCTAAATCTATTTATATATCAGACAAAGTACTAAAAGTAACCCAGCATTACAGTTTAATATTAGAATTTACTTAGATCCATTATTTAAAAAAAACCAACAGAGATACGTCTAAGTCTAGAGTCCAATTGCCATAAAATTATTGCATGCTTAGAAATGAAGCAATGGCGTGTAGAGAGAAGGGAATAAAGTTTTCAGTTCTCTCAATAGTTCAATATGAGACAGAGATTAAGTTGTGAAAGGATTTTTTGTGTTACTTAAATAGCAATATTATAAAACGCACAGGTTTATTAGAATTTTTGAATTTAGGAAAATATAATGTGAAGGAGATCCATCACAAGTATCCAGAACATGGCCGCAGTTGTGTCCAAGTTATGATGGAAACAACTAATAGTGTTTTTGATTAAATTCTAAAAAACTCCATAGTCCATTAGCAATCATTAAAAGCATTTTTCACTACGATGCAAAGAAGCCTTACAAAACAATTCAACTAAAAAAAAGCAAATTGAAAGATTTAAAGTCTTTCGAACAATGGTAGGTTTATTTACCTTAATGATAGTTTGACAGTAAAATAAAAATGAACTTTAAACCCAGACACAGTGCTTGTGAAGGTGCAACGATTGACAAAGTGTGTTAATTAAAAAATTCCGCTAAAACTTGAACAGACAAAATATAAAAATATCAAATCATTATATAAGTTTTTTGAAACAGACTCTGTACAGTCATCTTAAAAAATCAGCGAATGGTACAATCTTAATTTGAAAGCGAACTGAACTTTCTAAATGTAAAGTAGTTAAATGTTGCTATACAAAGTAAACATTGTTATTTTTGACCCAACTACTATTAATATGTTTATTTTATATCGTATTTTAATTACTTGTTCTTGTTCTTACTTATCTTACTGGGGTCTTACTCTTAATAATGGTTTGCAATTATTTGATGTTCTTCATATATTATCTATTAAATACATTGTAAAAATATGAGTAAAGCCGTTTATTTCCACTTTATTTTTTACTGTAACCATTTCAAAACAAATCCTTTTTTTTTAGTTATAAAATTTGTTTGTATTTCCTTTACCATTTTACATAAAAATGTTCTAACTCTATTTGTTATCTTTGACCTTTGAACTAATATCCAAATAAAAAAAAACTTCAACTTCAGTAGTTTTAAAAAACTACGTATACTATTAAGTACAAAATGCTTCCTTGTTTAGATGCTCGCATTTTAACTAGAAACTACTATCATGGACAATTTTTTGAAATTTATTTTGAAAGACAGGGGTGCACACTTTAAAAATTAAATTAAAGAAAACGTTGTAAACGTCAAAAGCGTATAGAATAATAAAAGTGAAATTGAATCTATAAAAAATAAAAATTAATAACAAAAAAGTTATGATTTTTTAATCCACTTTTTTGTACATTAAGGAAGAAAAAAAAGGGATTAAAGTACAAGTATTTATTTAAAGTTTTACATTATAGCATCAATAGAGTATAAATAAGTTGGTATGATTTTTTTCACATTAAGTTCCAACCAATGTTGCAGGCAAAAAATAATAGTAATAAAATAATGCCTAACAGCTATAAAGAACTTTAATCTATGTATCTACCTCATGTATAAATTATAAACATTACTAAAATCTTTCAAATTTAAGATTGTTGCCCATTGGTTGTTACAGTCTTAATGGAGAACTAACCCAGTAAACACGGACGTAAAAAAAGACGTCTTTTAAAATCTTATACACGTTTTGGACGTGTTTTGAACGTTTTGGACAATCAAAAGACGTTTTTTAGGTCCGGTGCCCACTGGGAAGAGTAAAAGATAGAAGCAGAAAAAATTAAACAAATACAAGTTCATGTTGAATGTACTATTTCA